TTTAGGTATTACAAATAATAACCATGCAACACTCATTCAGTCAGTTGCACAACCCTTGGATCTAAGTGTGCTATTTCTATTCCTGATATTTTTGTTTTGTTTTAATCTTGTACAGTATATTGTTGTTCTTGTAAATATAGATTTTTATGGATGTTTAACTTATTTGGACCTTTTGTGTGAATCTACATACCTTGATGCTGGTGTTACACATACTGATTTATTGTTCCCACTGGACAATGAAAGATATTTATATTTTAGCCTGTTCTATTTTAGAGTTTGTGTTTAGACTATCGACACAAACGAACACGCATAGATGATAAATGCGTTTTATATATTTATTTATTTATTCATTCATTCTTTATAGGTCAATAATCACGGAAAGGCTGTAGGTTGTTTATAGTCTGCACTTTTTCATGCTTTTGACCTTTCCAGGCAGAGCTTCCTTTTGTTTATTCAATTAGGCCTGCCTCAAACGTGAATTTATAAATAAATTTTCATTTCCAGAGCTAATCTTGATTGTCTTCTCTTCACCCAACTTTTTCACCTTGTTGCATATTTCCTCGTGGGTTTTGAGGCATGACTCTCACGCCATTTTGATTCCTAAACTGGATTTGTGGAGCCAATCTCTAGGTTCATTTTCACATTTATAAAGAAAGTTGTTGCCTAAAACCTTGAGTTTCAAAACCTTATTGAACCATATTTGCTGTTGTGATCATCAGAATGTCCAGTCCCTCACTACTCGACCCCCAGGGTTTCCCTCAGCATATTATAAGCCTGGCAGGCCACCAGGCTTTACTTGTGCCCGTGTCAAATAATGTTAATTTAGCTTAGTTTCTTTTTAAATTATTGCCTTTTTTACGACTTTGTAGTTGGTGTTTAGTTATTAATCTTCCAGCCTTCCAAAAATGCATAACAAGTAGTATTTTCAAATTTCCTGTCAACTTTAAACATTTTTTAACTCAATAACAGGGCGGCCAGCTGGATGACTGCCCTAGCAGCGCCGGGCTTAGCAAGTTTTCTGGGGGAAACTCTGACTCCTAATTTTGCTGGATCTCAGTGCTGTGTGATTATAACATCCTGACTAATGGATACAAAAATCGATCAAGGCTGTTTCAACTTTTTTGGCATGCATGCAAAACGATGTTTGTGGACACACCATGTCTCACTGTGAGACATGGTGGAGGCAGCATCATGCTGTGGTGATGAGTTTCTTCAGCAGGGACAGGAAACCTGGGCATATCTGATTTTCATTTGTAAATAAATAAATAAAAAAATAAAAATTCAAAATACCTTACTTTCCTTGACTGACAAGAACTTTCGAAGTTTTAATGTATAAACGTTGAAAAGTGCAGTTTCGATTGATCAGAGGCAGTGCAATCTCTCTCCACAAAGCAGCAACAGGAGCAACAACAAATCAGACGGAGACTCGTTGGTGTCCAGTGACGCGGTCTGTAAGGTGGAGCTGTTGTTGCCGTCCACCTTTCTCGCCGGAGGACTTTTTTTCTTCTTCTTTTTTTTTTTTTTTTTGGCCAGCCTCTGCGCGTTTTCACACGGCAGGTGGAGCTCTACGTCCAAAGATTTGGGTGTCGGGTCCAGTTCCGTGTTTTCCACTAGACAGACAAAACCCCCACTTCATATCTCCCTCTTTTCCCTTCCTGCATCCCCCAGGCAGGAATCATCACCTTCTCTCCAAAACCCTCCACCCGCCCCTCCAGCCCCCTTCGCTGCCCGCCCCTCCTTGCCTGCCTTCCTGCCTGCGACGTAGCGCTCCTCTAGCCGGGGCTGCGCTCTGATCGGCCGAACATTCGCCGCGCTCCTAAATTGGTTTGTCATTTCTGACCCTCCCGCCCCCCGTCCCCTCCTCTCTCTCTTGCTCTCGCTTCCTGACCACGGTCCTCTGCTCCTCTGCTCCGTTGCGCCTGTGGACTTCAGCTGAAGTCAGTTAAGAACATAAGGAGAGAGACGGGGGAGGGAAGAAGGGAAGGACCGGGATACAGACAGACGGATAGAGGAGGAGAGAGAGAGAGAGCGAAGGAGAGAGATACGCCTCTGTCCTCCTCTAGCTCTCTCCTGGGCTTGTAGAGCGTTTGGACGGAGTAGAGCTTTTTTTTTCTCCTTCCTGATCGGGATCCTAAGCACGCAGCCATAGCTTTATCCCCATCCCTTCCTGGAGGAACACTTGTCCGGGCTCCCCCTTTTTTTTTTTTTGCACCAAGTCGGAGTCCAAGCAGCGATCATCAAGTGAAACAAACCGACTAGGAAGATATATTTGCGTCCAGCTGCCTGCTAAGAAACATCGCCTCTTCTCCGTGCTGGATGTGTACATGTTTGCCCTGAGATCCCTGCTGCTGGTGATTGGGTAAGAATCCACTTTTTTTTGTATATCTTTCCCTCTCAAATGATGCAGATCTACGGAGACATGAGCGGTGAGCGTCTTTGAGACCCCCTTTGGCTGCATGTCAACCTGTGCATCTGAGCTGAGATGCTCTACGGCAGCGCTGACTTGGATGCCTATGGGAATGTGGCCTGCGATTATTGCGCTTACAGAGCTGGCCTCTCGGTGGGTAACATGTTAAACACGGGTTCGCACAGGATGCTTGTCCGGGGGATCGCGGCTGCGTAAGGGCGTCGCTCGGATGTGACTCGAAGCAATAAGCGATGATCCCTCCATTACCTCTCCGGATCCCAATCAATGCAATCACATTATCCCCGTGACAGCTCCCGTCGGCCTCGGCGTGTGTACGCGTTATTATTCTGGTGCTGTACAGCCGCATGTATCTGCCTCACTGCAGGGCGCAATTACACATCACATGTACTGGCATGATGGATGGCAAGACTAAGGCTTCGCCTCTTATTAAGGGTTCTCTTATTCTATGCGGCTGTCACTCGCGTGTTCAGATATGGGAATGCAGTAAAGCTGGCACGGCTCGGGGACGTGCTCGGGTTTTTGTCAGCCGCAGTCCAGAGGATCCGAGAGAAAAATAATGGCACTGTGTTTGGGATCAGCAGCATCCAAGAGGCCGGCGCACGGCAGCACAAGTCAATCATGCGGATTCACGGGTGTAAAGAAAACACTGATTATGTTTACAATAGGAAGGCATCTGGAGGTTAGGTTTGCAGATGACCTTGGTGTATAACAGTAAATTACAGAAGGTGGCACACTCCTGCAGAAAAAAAAGAGAAGAAAAACCCAGTCACTTGCTTCAGAATTAATTTTAATAATATTGAGTAACAAGTATTGCTCGCCTAATCCTGTTTTAATTCCTCACTAATGATTGACTGGACGACTAATCAGTGATTTGGCAGACAAATAATTGCAGATAGCTGCCATTTAAAGCCCTCCCCTCTTCAATAGGCACCCCTGGTGTCTGAGAGTCTGCTTGGGTGGCTGTGTACTGGCCTATTTGAATCACATTACCCTCAATATCCAAATGGCTCTTAGCAACAAATTTTCCAACTCTTTGTGGAGATCTTATCCAAGGGGAAGCAGGATGGATGATAATATGTTTACAGGGCGATGCAGCAGAGAAAGACGCCACAGAGGAATCTGTTGAGCAAAAATGAAAGTGGTCACATTTTATCATGTTACACGGTGCCTGTTGGACCATATCGGCTAAAAGAGAGGCATATTTCCTTGGAAATGTTTACAGCTTTAGACGGGCTGAATGTAGATAAATGGATTTGGATCAGGACGCTTTGCATCTGACACTGCTCAACTTCAAATGTCGAAGTATTTAATTGTTTTTTTTTTTTTTCCCCAAATCTATTTTTTTATTTATGTACATTTCCTCTAACTTCTTTATTTTACAGTACACAACACACACAAATTTAATTATGCAATGTGATGATGTAAAGAATTGCTGGAAGAAATTTAGTGATTCACTGATATGAAAAGTTGGGCCGATATGCGATATTAATATCACTGAAATGGTCAATAACAATTTTTTACACATATATTTTATTACTGTTTTGACAACTTTGGGTTGGGGGGGGACCCTGGCCATAAACAGATCGCAACAAGACAAAAATAAATATCAGTTGTTCATATCAGGAACATACCAGTATGTAAAAAAAAATTGCTGATATTAGCCAATACCGATGTCAGTGCTGATATATTTGCACCCCTAGCTAAAATAAGTTACCAGTGGAAGTACTGTCACACTGGTACCTCTAATGCAACATAAAGTCATATTAGTCATATTAGTGCAGTCCATCTGCAGACTTCACCCTGAATGCATCATTCCTCCTGCAAAACATTGCAGTGGCATCAGGCTGGAAGGTTGGTATTTCATCACAAAAAGTAAGGAATCTTAGAGTTGATGGGAATAAAGATGGGGGTAAATACAGGGGATTGCTGGAAGAAAAACTGGTAAAGGCTGCAGAAGTCTTGAGACTGGGTGGAGAGTCACCAAAAGACTTTGAACATACATCTAGGGCCACATTGGGATGGTTTAGATTGAAGGATATGCACATGTTAGAATGACCCAGTCAAAGTCCAGACCTTAATACAATTCACAATCCACAAGACTTGGAAATTGATGTGCACAGATGCTCTAAAGCAAATCTTACTGAGCTTCAGCTATTTTGCAAAGAAGAAAGCCATTTCAGTCTGTAGGTCTGCAAAGCCAATAGTGACATACACATAAGATAATAAGCAGGAACCTCATGCCTAATTAGATGTAATTGCAGAAAAACTTGGTTATAAAGTATTGCCTCATGGGGACTGTGGGGCAAGGCAATTAGTTGAACGGGATTTTATTTAAGGGCATCAGAATAAAATGGGTCTGAATACAAATGCAAACCTTCCACTTCGTAATAATGTACCACATTGTGCTAAGTGACAAAATGTGAAAAAGTTCAAGCGTTGCAATACTTTAGGAAGGGACTGACTTGACTTCTTTCCAAATTCTGCCTCTATTCATCATGCATGTCTGTGTGTGTGTGTCTGATTTCTGAATCTGTCTCAAACAGTGGAGAAAGATAAGCTTTAATAGTTTTTCGTGTTATCTTGTCTAAATGGTTTACTTTTCTGACGGGCTCAGATAGCCTCTCAAGAGCCAGCCGCAGGACGTTTGTCAAACAGACAAGTGTGAGCGTGGGGTTGTTAAAGAACAACCAGAGTCGTGTTCGGTAACAAAATTCATGTGGCACCAATGTTTCTCAGCCCCTGAAAGCATACGATGTGCAGCAGCCGACTTCAAGCATTCTGCTTACTGTAGGTCTGTCTGTCCTCCCATAAATTAGGTCACTGCTTCTTTTCTGTTATGATGCAGGAGACGGCTAAAGAGCCGTGTTGAGGAGAAAAAAAAAAAAAGAGTGAAGCACGGCGGTTGTGCTAATTCAGATCATTTTTGCTTGACTTGAAGACCTCACTCTCCTTTGTTCAGAGCTGTTAATATTGCAAATACATTTGGTTTAGATTTGGAAGATTCCATGAACAATATCTACCCGTGAAACGGAAGGAGGTCGTTATTGGAACAAGGGATCAACTGTTAAACATCTTCTGCTAACACAAAAACCTCTAGATAATGAAAATAAACCTTGGCAGGCAACACGATTCATCTCAGACAGACAGCGTTTGGGAAATGCACACAAGAATATTAAGACAAGCAGGCACATAATCAGTTTTGTTACAACTGTAACCGCTTGTTACTACAGTCAATTTGCATTTTCAAGGGGTAATGAGAGAATTTCATTTCAGCATTTGTGCTGTTAGTTCAGCTTAGTGGCTCCGCAGATCCTAAACTCTGATTTACCGAGAATTATTTAGAAACAAATGATGGCAAATTTGCAGCTTTCAGTCAAAAAAGTGGCTCACATTCCTTTCTCACACTGCTATGAAAATATATCACTCCCCCTTATAGATTTTCTCAGTTTCTCCCTTTTTTTATCACACTTGTTTCAGATCATCAAACAAATTTTAATTTAACAGACTGAGACAAGAATGACCTCAAGATTGAGATCACAATGCAGTTTCCACATAATTTAAATTGTAAAGGGAAAAAAAAAAAACATTCAAACCAACATGGCTTTATTTGAAAAAAGCTGCCACCTGCTTAATAACTGGTTGTGCCAACTACTGTTGACACAATATTTGTAATTCAGCCACAACATAAAGTTTTCAAGCATTAGTAGCATATCTACGGTAATTGAGTGGTGTAATCAGACTTTGACTACACCACTGTTCTTTTTTTTTTTGTACTAGTATTTTTCTGCATGCATTTGGATCCAAAACACTTCATTTTTGTCTTGTCAAAAATTTTCCAGAAATTCTTGGAATCATCAAAACGTTTCAAGGTAATGCGAGATAGATATTTGTGTTAATTTTGGTCAGTATTGGTTTTCACTCTTGCATGGATCACATTTTTACCACGTCTTTTTCTTGGTATTAAATCCTCAACAGTGACGTTAACTGAAGCAGTGCTTTAGATGTTGTTTTGCAACCTTCTGAAATAGTTAACAATTTGCTCTTGGAGTAATTTTGGTTCGCTGGCCTCTTATGTGAATGTTCTGCTCTGGTGTGAGTTTTCTCCATTTATGGACAGATGCTCTTAGCATAGTTTGCTGTACTCTCAAATTTATTTTGTTTCCCTTTCCAGATTGTTAGCTGTCTATTCTTTCTGTGAAAGTTATTTGTTGGTCAATACAATCAGGATGTAACATATTGCCGGGTTTGCTTGGATAGTTTTTCCCTCTCAGTTAATGAAATCAAGATTTGGAGACACCGTTTGGATTTACTCAGGTCATCTTTGTCTTATGTGAACTTTTTTGAAGATGTAAAAAAATGGCCCAGGTTTCATGGCGGTGGTATAGGATTCACGGGTGACCCAGAAACTATGACTGAAAAAAAAAAAAAAAAAAAAAAAAAATTTTTTTTTGTTGCTATTTCTAAATATTTAGCTTACCCATTCATCCTCCATAAATATGTTACAAGTAGCAGTTATCATTCTACATAAATACAGGAGTTAAAAGCATCTTTCAAAAACACTGATAGTATCCTCTATTTTTGCAGTGAGTTATATAAATGGGGTATTTTTTTTTATCCTATTGTCCTACAAATAATTTGTTTACAGCTTCTCCTTGCTTGACAGCATGGGAAAGCACAAGCCCACCTCCTTCCGGCTAGCAGGTCTCCTCCACCAGCAGCCTTGGCTCCTGCCAGTGCCCACATTCATGAGAAAGAAGTTGGATATTATTTTTGGGGTGATTAAGCTTCTCATAAGTGTGTGGGAGCTGTCTACTGAACTTTCTGATTACAACTCCTTAGAAATATTGCAAAATGTTCTCTCTTTTGGAAGTGATTGCGGGCATTTTTTTTTAAAGTAAGGTGGGCTTGGCCAACATTTCAGCAAGCTGTGTGGGTTTTGGGACTTTGCCAGGAGTGGGAGTTTATAATGTCTGCCTGATGGTGATAGGCTGCATTTAGCCTTTATATTTTCTGTGCTTTCGCTGATACTCTGAAGACCATTTTTGACCTATTCAAATTATCATCCTGTCTTTGGCTTTGACATTGACTGAACGAGTTGGACAGATGCATTCTTTTTGTGTTTGTGCATCCTGTTTGCAGTTATCAGATTATTGGAAGATAATGTTGCACCCTGACCTAATCCTTCAAGGTTAGAGTGTATTCTGCCTCTAAAGCTAAGGGCTTTTCACCTCCCCGTCTTCAGCTGATAAGAGCTTGAGATAGGCTTAAGGTTGCTGAACTTATGCTGACATTGCTGTGTTTTTGTGTTCTATATCTGCCTGTAAAGACAAAGGGGCTGAGGAAAGTAAGCAGCTCTCTGTGTCCTCAGGTCCATCTCATAAAGGAAGCCTCTGTCAGCATGGGTGTTGTAGTCTGTTGTCCTCGCCAGGGTCTGCAGCCTGCTGTCTGGAGGCTCCTGGCTGCTTTCAGTTTATTTTAACAAGGCTGACATGAGGAACTACAGTAAAGTGCAAAATTAAACTTTTACAGTTTTTTTCATGCTATTACCACTAACATTATTGTGTTTTGGGAGGATTTTAGAAAATAGATTAACACGAAGTGACACATAATGTGAAACTGAACAGAAACTCATGCATCATTTTTTTATTTTTTATTATTTTAGATAACCTGAAAAGCAGCGCTTGTTTGTATTCAAGTCTCTTTAGTCTGACTCTTCAACATAAAATCACCGAGTAAATAAATGAATAAATAAAGTTTACTGTCAGCATTTTGAAACAATTTTAATACACTCGAGACATGTATAGTTTTGATTGGGGCTGGAGAGGGACTTGACTGACTGGAGTCAGTGGGGAATCCTATACCATACAAACCATGTTTTAATCCATTCTCAAATTCAGGGGTGTTGAGGTGGGGTGATCACACCATTACATTTGCTGGTGTGGTGGGGACTGGAGGTGAGAGAAAGACCTGGAGGTGTCTCCCAACATCATGAAAGGACAGCAGGGGGCTGTTCCCTATGTTGTGGAGTTCTTTGTGTGGGTGCTTGGGCCGTGTCCCTGTGTAGTGGGGTCCCATTGATGGCCTATGACTCTTGGGGACGTGTTGGACTGACTGTGGACCACAAGTGCTATGCTGAGTTCCAGTGAGCTTCCCTTCCTTTTGACCTCTAAGGGGTTGCTCTACAGGTGGGATGGAAATGTGGCCAGTTCCAGCTGCCATGGTGGCCTGGTGCTTGCTCGGCATGTTGGGGGGTATTAGTGGGATCTCCCATTGGTGATGGGCCATTTTGCTGACTGGGGTTAGTGAAGGCCCTGGACTGCTGGAGGGACTGGGTCCCTGGCTTGTCTGGCACAGGAAGAAATGGCCGTGTGGTTGTTTGGGGGGTTTGGGGCTCTCTGTCTCATGCCTCTCTGGCCTGGAGGCTGCTGCCTGTGTGCTTCACTGATGACCTCTGTGTGGATGCCCGTGGTCATGCCTTGTGTTTGTCTGCCCTCCAGAATCAGATCCACCTGTTTGTTGCTGCTCTTGGGTGCTGCGTTGCAGGCATTGTACCATTCTCAACACTCTTACATCTGTGCTCCTGCAGGTGACATACTCGCTCACGTACTCTCTTCTTTTTACATATATCACTCAACTACACCCACCCGAAATCACATAAATAATCAAAATGGTTGAAGGGTATGCAAACACAGGTTACTGTTATAGCATTGTGGCCACCTACTTCGATGTTAGATGTTGCTTTTATTTAATAAAGTCAATCACGCAATTAGGATTCTGTCTTGAGATGTTCTTTTTTTTATAAAGGAAATCTGCCTTGGCACATCTAGGAAACCTTCTTTATATAGTATGCCTGAAATGCAGTAAACAGGACAAGTTAAGACAAAGGAAATTGCAAGAGACTTGCGAGCTGATACTTGGAGACATTTTTCATTTCATTTTGCAGTGAAATGAGCAAACATCTCAGTCTCCAGATGTTCAAAACCCCAAAATATTGGCAGCTGGAATTGCGGCTCTACAAAGTACAAAGCATTGCCTCAGTTCAATAAATAAACAAATAAAATAATTTATTTTCCTTCACCTTACAGCAGAAACTGTATATTGTTGACATATCACATAAAACCACATTAAAATACAATTCAGTTTGTTTAGTGGAAGTTCCTTGCTGTGCGACTGCCTCAAGGGTGAGCCTTAGATGTTACCCTTCCTGAATCAGGATAGTTTAGGAAAAATCTACGTTTAGGTGTTAGAGTAGACCCAGATCTTGAAGCGGTGGGAGCAACATGCTTTAAGAGGCCCTGACTATAGTTAGTTCAGTTGTTAGCTTGGATTTTTTTTTCTCTTCAAAATGAAGATGATGAAAATAAAGACTTTGTGCTTAAGAGACATGGTTGTCGTGGTGATGCGGTGGTTGGTCACTGTAGAGGACATTGCCTGTTTGCAGTGGTGGGATTTGAGATGGGGAAGGTGACTCACTTTGTGGATGATCAGGTTACTCTTGTATTCAAATGTTCTTCATCATATCCAGTTTTGTATTAAGTTAATTTATGCTTGGCAAGCCAAAGGCCTGTGTCAGAGAGCTTCTTAGATAAACATTAGGTTGTGTTTATTATGCCCGCAGAGACAACCAAGCTCTCTGCACAAATAAACCATCACTCATGAGGCATAGGTTGTAAAAAGAAAACTGCTTTCATAATGATATTAGTTTTTAATGAAAACACAGCTGTAGAATTTAACTGCTCTTTCAGTGGTTTTTCATAAAGCCATGATGATTCCTTTTGATTGATTCCTTTGAGTGCCGAGCTTAACCTAATTCAAAAGGCCTCTCCTGTGCTAGATGACATCTCTCTCCTATATTAAAATAATAATCCAAGATTCTTGCCTGGCTTCCTCATTCTCCTAAAGTACTTGGTCATGTGTTAACATATCCGTCCTCCTGCCCGTCGCCTCTCTTAAAGAAGAAACCAGACTCCTCTGCATTTTCCATCATGGCCCTTAACTCATTCGTCCTTTCTTTATGCGTGAAATCCATGTCGCTCTCTTCACCATGCGGCCAGAGTGTAGTTCTTTATGATTGGGAAAAGGGAGAAACCAACTGTGGACTGACTCATTCATTGAGTGACTGTGATTAGAACTGCCCTCCACAGTGAAATGTCTAACTCTGTAGGGATTTTTAAGGGCTCTAAAATCAACCCACCTCAGCTTTTTAGTGGTCTGTAGTTTCTGTGCTGTTTCCATGTTGTTCACTGTTCGACTGCCCGCTAATGCCAGGTGTTACGAGCTATTTGTGAGGTGCTGAAAGTGATCCGTCTTGTTTTCCTGCTCACTGGATATTGCAGCGTTAAGCAGTGCAATGTAATCGAATCTTTAAACAACATCAGGCGGTGAAGCTCAAGGTAAACGGTAAAAACGGATCGCACAGATGGTTGAATCTGCCTGCCCTGATGAATTTTATATTGTGTCTGTCAAACAGAAAATAATACATAAATGCTAATAATAATGATAATATTAATAATAATCATAATAATAAAAGTACATAGTATTTGCATAGCACTTTTCTAGACACTCGGACACTTTATAGGAATCAAGTAAAATTGGAAACAGAACACAAGTACATCAAAATCATAAAAGGAGAACACTTCTAAATAACACGTTAAAAGAATACGACAGCAAAAAACAAATCCCTCCTCCGTAATCCCCTCAAAAAAAAAAGAAGAAAAACAAGACAATAGTCATACATCAAACAAATATATAAAATTGTTAAAAATGCATATCCAACATTGGTTTGACTAGGTAGATAAAGTAGTGCAGAACTGGGAAGCGGAAGGAAAATTATATTTGTTTCATTCATGTTTTCACAAATACAATCTCAATCATGCAATTATATTCAGTCCATTTAGCTTTGATACCCCAAAATAAAGTAATATAATCAGTAAACAGAATCCATCTACGATGAATTTAATCTCAGCATAAATCCAGCTGTTTTGTGAAAGCCCCAGAGATTTGTTAGAGACCATTAGAGAACGGACAGCATCATTAAAACCAAGCAGCACAGCAGAAAGGTCGGGGAGAAATTTAAAGCAGGGTGAGATATTCGAGTCCAAGCATTGGCCCTCTTAAAGAGTACTGCTAAATCCATAATCTGAAAATGTAAAATGAATAGGGCAACTGCAAACGTACCAAAACACAGTTGCACACCTAAGAGCATTAATCAGACAAGCAGCCTCAAGGCCCATCTGACTCTGAAGAAAGAGCAGCGATACACGGCTCAGGTGGAAAATTCTGCTGACAGAACAACTATTAATTGTGTAGTCCATAAATCTGGCTTTTGTGGTGGAATCCCAAGATTGTTGAATTGTTGAATTGTTGGACGAAAACCAAAATAATTTCCCCTTAGCTTGCCACAAGCCTCATAATCACACCTGAAAAAAGAGGCTTTGGTTAGAGGAGGCAAAAACTGAGCTTTATGACCTGCATGAAAAACGGTACACATGGAGGAGAAAACCCTGTACAAATGATGCCTCTTTTTGAAAAAATTTGGTGGCAGCATTATGCTATGGATTTCTGTAGTAGAAAGCTTGTCCGAGCAACAGGGAAGATAACAGAGTTAAATGCAGGACATTTCTGGAAGAAAATCTGCCAGAGGCGGCAAAAAAGCTTGTCATGGGGTTAGAGGTTCACATTCACTCTCAAGCAGGAGAACAATCTTAGGCACATTGCCAGAGCTACAATGGCTTGATCTGGATCAAAGCATGCCCATGTGCAAAGTTGTCCCAGTCCAAGTCCAGTTTTTCATCGAATTAAACATTTTTGACAAGATTTGAAATTGAATGTGCATCAAGGCTTTTCATCCAATCTGAGTTAGCTGAGTGGTTTTATTTTTTATGCAAGGAATAACGGGCCAAAGCTGGAAGAGATTTGCAGATGTGATTGCAACAACAACATTCCCTCTTGGAGCCTGAAATGCATGCCGCACTTCTCAGATTTTTAATAGTAAAAGATTTGAAAACCACGTTTCATTCTCATTTCACTTCTCAATGATGCACATTGACTTAATGTATCCGAAGTATCCCACTAAAATGCATTTAGGTTTGTGGCTGTTGTGCAATAAAGACAAACTGGTCCTTCGACTGACATATGATAATTTGTTTCTTGCTTAGATTCACAAGCGTTACTGATTAAGTCAGATATTTTTTAGCACAAGACAAAAGAGCTCATTTCCTGTCACATTAAAACAAGGAAGGGGCTTATTAAAGCAGAAATTTTCACAGATTTAATTAGATAATCTATTTACTGAATTAAACACGTTTCAAAAACACAAAAAGAAAACCCAGCTTATAATTAGATATATATCAGCTATACCAAACAAATAACACACCAGAATAGAGGAGTTGCAATGACAGAAGTGATTAATTAAGATTAAAGTACAACCCTATAATTATCACATCTTCAGACCCATGATTAGAATGAAAAGTTCCACAGAAAGCACCAGCAATGTCACCTCATAGGAGAGGGTCTGGATGGATCCCATCTCGCCTGTGCAGGACTTCTTTATGCAGTTTAGATGTCACCCCCCTTCCCTCCCTCCTTTCCTTCCTGCGTGGGTTTCCTCTGGGTACTCGGTCAGCCTTTGCATGCATGTTAGGTTAATTGGTGACTCCACACTGACCCAGAGGAGTAAGTATGTGGCTGTTTTTCTTGTGTTGCAATCTGTCTTGGGTTTATACCCAGTACAGATTGCCCGTCCATAACTATCCTGAGTCTAAGTGGGATTAAAACAGGTATTGAAAATGAATGATTGTGTTTTACATTAAAATTCAGTATTACAATGTCCTTATAAAGAGATTTTTGTTTGAGATTTTTTTTGACATCCCTTTGATTTACATGCTAATGAGACAGAAGTCATAGATTACTATTGAAAAGTAGCTGGAAACTTAAAAAAATAAAATTTTGGATTCTAAAAAGTGGATCTATTTTTTTTTTTTACAGTTTTTATTGTGCTAATGTTCTGTATTCAACAGTAGAGAGAGCACAGAGAGAAAGGAAAGACATGCAGGAAATCGTCAGAGGACGGGAATCAAACGACTTCGTTTAGGATTGTAGCCATTATATCTAATTGTGTTAGTTTTAATACTCTTGGTACTGTGTTGGTTTTTCCTCCAGGTCAGTGCTTCACAACCCTGGTCCTCAAGGCACACTGGCCTGCATGTTTTAGATGTTCCCTTGCTTCAGCACAAATTATTTCAGTTGACAGGTGTTTGCTGAACTGCAATCAGCTGAAACAAGTAGGGCTGTGTGCCTTGAGGACCAGGGTTGAGAAACGCACAACATACCATGGGCATCTCATACCAGCTTATGCCTAAATGCCACCTAACTTTGTGTAAGTGTTGGGAAAGGAATAACAATAGACTGGAGCGGGTATATGATGCTTCAAAACCATCATATACAACAAAGAAAACCTAATGAATATAAAGTAGGTTCTTTCAGGATTTTGCAAATGAAAAAAAGCAGACTTTGGAAGTATTACTGCATTTGCTGCATAACATTTACAGATGATACACAATGCATATATACATATAAAAATACATTTGAAGAATCTGAAGACATTTCTGTTGGTTGGAGGATAAGAATGTAAATCGATCCTAAATGGATCGAAAACAGACATGACTCTGGAATAAATCCTTTCACTATGCATTTTGTACATAAGCAACTAAAAACTATTTTAACTGTTACATCATTAAAGCTAATTAAATTATAAATCTCAACTACAGCATCTTAAAGCTGCGATATGGCACTCTTATAAACAGTCTGCTTTTTAACATATTTATTAAAGCCATCACAATGTCCTGTCCGCATAGTATGAGACAAACGATAGGAGAAAAACTCCAGGAACGACCAGGAGGGTTTTAACACTGTCAATCACCCACGTATATATGAAGAGGAGGGGTGGGAGTTTTAAAGTACACCATACCAACATTCAAACATAGGGGCGATAGTGATAGCCTGAGACTGCTTTGTTACTTCATTCTTGCTGTAATCGATGAAAACATAACTTTTGCTTTCTATAAAAAAAAATCCTGAAGGAAAATGCCATAAGTTTCGGTCGCTTGGGTTTGCAGGAGTGTACCGTTATCACTACGTGTTAGATACTCTGTGTATGTTAACGTAGATCAACAGCAAGCCAAACTCAATTTCATGAGCCAGGAAGCTGAGCGTCTTGCTCCTTTATTACGTTTTCTTGACACAACTTTGAGCAGTGGTGTGGAAAGCTCAATAAAAGGTTGAGTGAAACTATAAGAAAGAAAAATAAAATATGCATCAGCTCTAAATACACAGAATAAACTTCTAGAGTCTGAATATAATTAACCTGAGCTGCAGTTAAGAAACAGTCACGTAGCAACCGTTGCTATGTAAATAAAAACTATGAAAATATGGCTTTTCTAGAATAAACACATTTGGAAAACAATCTCAGAATAAACTAACAAAACATATAACACCAAACAGAACACAGATTGAACTTACAGCCATTGTTTTCGGAGGTGTAAGAAAAGATTGACAACACAGGAGGTGAAGTTCATACATTAACAGGCAGGCTTTCTCTCTACGAACAGATATTCCAAACTACAACTGCCTCTGCTACCCACAATGTACTGTTATCTCAAAATTCTCGTTCAAAATAAAATACAGAGAAATTAATACTATAAAACTTTTTAAAACTAATTAAAACATTTCCAACATCCAGCCTGGGGCAGAACAAGGAGATAAGAATCCATAGTAGACCAGCCTGTCAATCTCCAAATAATTAAAAAAATAAATAGTAATCAACTCAGTTTTTTATTCTCAAAAAACATTCAGTGTGGCTGAAGCAAAGCAGTTTTGCAAGTAAATCTCATTTTCAGTTACTGAAAATGCTTCATGTCAGTCGTTGGAAACGTTTGATAACTGCATTATGCACAGTATTCATGCAGGTCCTCTTTATCTGATACTAACATTTATATGAAGATACTGTATGAAAAATATAAGTGTGACAAGAAGTTACAGGTACATTTTCACACCACTATAGGTATGCATTGCTACTAACGCCTTTGTTCTTGTAAAGCCTTTAGTTCAGAAGCTATTCCTCTTTCACAAAGACAAAAAAAAAAAAAGAAATTCATACCTTGCTCCACACTTGTCTGCTATGTCCTTCACCTCCCTGTGCACCACTCAGAGCTGTCACCAGTCAATAGACACACATACATGCATGCATTTCTTTCCACACATTAATGTGATGCACATCAACAACAACCACTTTCCTTTAAACAAACACGCTTGAACTTGAGTGCATAAGATCAGATACTCAAAGGCCCCACTTGGACTTGCCTGCAGCTGTATGTTTACAGGGGTGACAAAAAAACACAGCGAATGCCGAATCAATTATTGTAAGTTGCTCGCTCAAAGGTCTACTGATTATTTTTGGTCTCTGCAGGAAGGCCTTTGCAATAGTGCTCACCCCCTTCTCCCAGTCCGGTGCCTTTTAAACGAAGCATTTCTGTGTTGTTCTATGTGTGAAGCCAGCCGGCCAGTGTTACTGATGGGGAATTCTTTGCTTTTGTTTGTCGGTTTACTGTAGCGTGCCAAGGAGGCCTCGCTTGTTTGGAGAATGGGCTTCATGGAAATGAGTCACACACAATGTGATGCAACACAGCAGATCAGATTTGAATTATGGGGCAGTGAACAATGAGGTCATCGCGGGGCTGGGGGCATAAACCTCTCGGTGGCATGGAGTATAAGACGGCATTTCTTATCAATGGAGGAAACTAGCGCAGGGTTTCAAAACACAGGACTGTTTAAGGACTTGGTGCAAATAAAAGACTGAGGCAGAAGACAGTTGTAAGGGGAAGTCTAGATTGGCTGTTTTATGAATAGTGTTGCCTTCAATTACTTTAACAGTCATGTTTCGCCGCAAAGTAAAATGTTTGTTGTAGTTTATTACAGCATGTTGTTGAATAGATGCAATTTACTCTTTTTCTTTTCTCTTCACTTTCCAGCACTTGCCCGCCTCTCATATCCCCAATGCTGCAGCCAATGATATTTTCCATATCTTTCCCTTCTTCAGCAGATTGTCTGCAATCAGCGTCGGCTGTAATACCATCATCCCTTGGCCCCTCTTAAATTTCTTGCTTACTGGGCTTTTACTTTAACTGCATTACATATATCTTCCACTCCCTGTTCATCTGGTTCCTTTCAGCATAAACCAGGCCGAAAGATCTGACTTGAAGCACGTTGATGGGACTCGTCATTTGATGGCAAATTTGGAAAACAACGCTGTCATTTATTGTGCCTGCTTTGTGGCCCGGCTGTGACGCTGATTGATATCGAATGGCATTTTCATTCGGAGTCTTTGGGAGTGAGAATATGTGCCAGAGAGTATTGATCTGTAGCTTAGTTGTTCGTGTAGTGCGATAGGATGAAGAAAGGAAAGAATGACTACATGGTCATGCTTGATTGAACAAAAGCATAAACAATAAACATTTGAAACTTTTCACATTTTGTCAGCCACAGTCTTCAGTGAATTTTATTTGGATTTTATT